GGTTGGCATGGACGAGTTGGACCGAAGGGTCTTTTTCCATGCTGTACATCTCTATGCCTCTATGACTTTATACGTCAGTCCTGCCATCCCAGAAAAATCAGTCTGGTGAACCTTAGCTGGACTCCTTCAATGACAAGAAGGAGACCAAAACTGCACACAACACTCAAGGTGTAGCCTCACCAAGGCCCTGTATAACAGCAACAAAACATCCTCACTCTGATATTTAAACTACTTATATTTCAATAACTTCAGAAAACAAAAAAATAGACAACAAGGTGCAGGGCTGGATGAACACAGCAGGCCAAGCAGCATCATAGGAGCAGAGAGGCTGACGTTTCGGGCCTAGACCCTTCATGCAGTTCCTACTATCTCTAAAAAAATAGACAACCTGGTTATCAGAATTTTGGTAACTTGGCAGAATTGGAATCACAGGTCGAATAGGTGCTTTTATGAACCAGAAAAATTAAAACAGTCAGATACCGCAATGATGTTGAAATGGTAAAAATCAGAACTGATTGCAGACATTTCTCAATAGCTGTTACTGTGTCAGACTCTATGGTACTTAAGTTTGTCACTGACAAATCAGTCGGTGCAACAATCTGAACTGTGACGTTCAGAAACAATACACAATTCCAGCAAATTCTGAGCCATTATCTGAAAGGTCCAGTTATTAGGCATCATGTGTATCTTTCCAGGTGGAGGCACTTTAGTAACTCCCAGCTCTGGGTCATGAGGTTGCATTCTTAAATTGAATGTCATTATGTTTCTCAAATTTGCCTCTATTTACTGGTCATTGGGATTTTATCTTTGCATTGTTTACATTGTTTTTTTTGCTGCTTTCAGCAGCGGTCTAGTTTTTGTACTTACTTGCAAGCCCCAAATTTTTTAATCTGTGCCTTGCTGACAGCTGCAATTTATGCTGTTGCAGACAAAATATTGGCCATCAGTATCCCACTAGCAGGCAGCAAATTGCAAAGCAATTAAATCTTTTTTGTCTCAAGGGAATCCCAAACTGCAGGATACGATAGCAAACATGGAGCCAGCTGCAAAGCCTCAGACATCAGCAGTCAGAAATGCTTATTCCCTTTTGGGGAAAAGCTACTGAGAAAATAAACAGTACTGAAGCCACGTGCTCCAGAACTAGCTGTTCCCCTAGCCAAGCGATTCCAGAGCTACTACAGCACTGGCATGTACACGGCAATGAAAAACTGATCCAGGAATGTCTCGTGCACTAAACACAGAACAAATACGACCCAGAATCACAGAAATGTTACAGCGCAGTAGAAGACCATTTGGCTTATCCTGTCTGCACCAGATCTCCAAATGAACAACATGACTTCGCGATTCTCCTGCCTTTTCCCCGTACCCTTGCCCATTGCTTCTATTTAAATAATTATCTCTTGAATGCTTCAATGAAACCTCCCTCCACCGCACATCCACAGTGGTTTCCAGAACCAAACCACATGATGACTGAAAATGTTTTCTCTCATACCACATTTGCCTCTTTTCAAACCACTTTAAATCCATGCCCTCTTGTCCTTCATCCTTTTACAAGCAGGGATAGTTCATCGTTATCTACACTATCCAGTCCCCTCTGTCCTGATCTTCTCTCAGCTTTTGTCACTGGAGAGAACAATCCCTCCAACCTATCTTCATAACTGTGCCATTCACAAACCTCCTCTGCCCTCTCTCCAATGTGCTCACGCCCTTTCTATAATGTAGTGCCTAGAACTGTACGCAATACTCCAGCTGAGGTTAAACAAGTGCCTTATACAAGTTTAGCAACACCTCATTGCTGTTGCAATCTATGACCCTATTACTAAATCCTGGGATACTGTATGCTTTATTTATTTATTTTTGTTGACTCTTGAATGGGGGTGTCGCTGGCTAGGCCAGCGTTTATTGCCCATCACTAGTTGCTCTTGAGAAGGTGGTGGTGTACCGTCTTCCTGAACTAGTGCAGTCCATTTGGCATAGGTACACCCAGAATGCTCTTAGGGAGGGAATTCCAGAATTTTGACCCAGGGACATTGAGGGAATGGTGATATATTTCCAAGTCAGGATGGGGAGTAGCTTGAAGGGGAACTGGCAGGTGGTGGTGTTTTCATATATCGGATGCCCTTGTCCTTCTAGATGGTATAGTCATAGATTTGTCTAAGGATGTTTGCTGAATTTCTGCAGTGCATCTTGCAAACAATGCTAATACTACGCATCAGTGATTGATTAAATGAATATCTGTGGATGTGGTGCCAATTAAGCGGGGGTTGCTTTGTCCTGGATGGTGTCAAGTTTCTTGAGTGTTGTTGGAGCTGCACCCATCCAGGCATGAGGGTAGTGTTCCATCAAGTACCTTGTAGATGGTGGACAGGCTTTGGGGAGTCAGGAGGTGAGTTATTGCTACAGTATTCCTAATCTCTGACTGCTTTTGTATACACTGTGTTTATGTGGTAAGTCCACTGGAGTTTCTGATCAACAGTAATCCCCAGGATGTTGATAGTCAGGATTCAGTGATGGTAATGCCATTGAATATCAAGGGGCAGTGGTTAAATTGTCTCTTATTGGAGATGCTCATTGGCTGGTATTTCTGTTGCAAATGTTATTTGCCATTTCTTTTAGCCCAAGCCTAGAATTTTAGGTCTTATTGCATTTGGACATGGACTCCTTCGGTGTATGAGGAGTCATAAATGGTGCTTAACTTGGTGCAGTCATCAGCAAGTATCTCCACCTCTAACCTTATGTTAGAGGGAAGGTCTTTGATGAAGTATCCGAAGAAAGTTGGGCCTAGGACATTAACCTGAGGAACTCCTGTAGAAACGTCCTCGAGCTGAGACAACTCACTTCCAACAACTACAACCATCCTCCTTGTTGGAAGGTATGACTCTAACTAGTGGGAAGTTTATCCCCAATTCCCATTGACTCTAGTCTTGCTAGGACACCTGATGACACATTCGGACGAATGCAGTCTTGATGTCAAAAGCGGTCACTCTCGGCTCACCTGTGGAATTCATCTCTTTTGGCTATGTTTGAACCATGGCTGTCATGAAGTCTGGAGCTGATAGACCCTGGTGAACCCAAACTGAGCTGCACTGAGCAGTTTATTGTTAAACACGTTTTGCTTCATTGCGCTGTTGATGACGACTTCCATCACTTTGCTGAGGACAGAGAGTAGACATGTGGCAGTAATCCAGTTTGGATTTGTCCTGATTTTGTGTACAGGACATCCTGAGCAATTTTCCACATTGTTGGGTAGATTTCATTATTACAACATTTTACACACCCTGGTCCTTCATCTCCATCAACCCATTTAGCATTGTGCCCTGATTTTATAATGTTTGTCCGTAATTTTCCTAAAAAATGCATCACTTCACATTTCTCTGTCCTGAACTTTGTCAATCTGTCCAGTCCACCAAGTTGTCTCTGTCCTTTTGAAGTTCTGCACATATCTCGTCTCAGTTTTGTATCATCTTCAAGTTTATAATTGTCCACTGCCATATAAAAAATGCCATATAATGATTACTCTGTTTCCTATCACTCAGACAGTTTTGTCTCCATGTTTATACTGTCTGTTTATTCCATGAAGTTCAACCTTTCTCAGCTGTCTGTTATGTGACATTGACAACAATGTCTTTTTCCAGAAACAAGAGAGCTAGGTTGAGAAGCTCCATTCCCTCTTCAGGCTCGTTACCAGCCACTCCAGAAAGTGCTGAAAGAAACTACTGCAACTTGACACCAGGCAGGGGGCGTCCAGTAAATAAGCAGTTATCATAAGACATGTGGCTACCAAGGAATACATGGTTAAAATAAAAATGTTTCAGCATCCTTTCATTAAAAACAATTAATCCCAGTATCCACAATCGTTGAAACTCAAGTCCACAAAAATTAAGCTTTCATAACACAGTTAACATTCATGCCATATATGAACAAGGCAAACAGATAGAATCTGACTGTCTATCCTCGACAGTCAAAAGTGTCACCATTGTCGAATCCCCCAATATCAATACCCTGGGGTTAGCATGGATCATAAACTTGGGCATGAACGTAAGTAGAAAAGTAAGTTGTCAATAAGAGATTAAAGAGTCTAAAAAGGGATATAGACAGGTTAAGTGATTGAGCACAAATTTGGCACATGGAATATATCATGGGTAAATGTGAATTTGCCAATTTTGGCAGGAAGAATAGTAAAGCAGAATGATAATTAAATGGAGAAAGATTAAAGAACTAGGTTCTACAGAGCGATCTCCACATCCTGGTACACAAATCACAATAATTTTGTATGCTAATGAGTTGGAAAAACCATGGAATGTTGTCAGTTATTTCAAGGTGAATGGAATATAAAAGTATGCAAGTTCCCCTACAGTTCTTCAGGGCATCGGTGAGACCACCTCTGAAGCACGGTGAATCATTTGGTCTCATAATTTGAAAAAAATTAATATAATTGCTTTAGAGGCAGTTCAGAGAAGGTTCACTCGACTAATTGCTGAGGTGAAGGACCTGCCTTTTGAAGAAAAGTTGAACAATTTAAGACATAAACACCACTGTTTTACACTCTTCATGGCAGCCCTGGTAATCCCAGGTCAACAAAAATGCAACGCAAAGGTATCTCCAGCCCATTTTCCTGACAAATAAGCCAAAGAAAACAAATATTCTATCAAGACAATCAAGTTGAATCTGTGTTATGCTGTTGTGTTATAGGGTCTGTAAGTGTTTCAGTGCAAGGTTGGAAAAGAAGGAAAAATAAGCAAAGAATGACACTGTCTCTGAGTATGGAGAAAGCTCCAATTCTTACTTCTTTCCCAACACAGTACAGCTTTCTGTCACAGAATTTGGATAATTCTCTGCTCGTAGGAAGTTAACGGATCATAATTGAAAGAATTCCATCTGGTTCACATTTGTTCTCATCTATTATAATGTGACCTTTTCTTCTAGTTTGATACAACTAAGTATGCATTGGAATTGGAAAGAACAGTGAGAGTTGTCACACAAATATTCAAGCTACTTACCAGCTTGTGTAAATCCACAAATTTTGGTTCCCTCTCCATTAGTCGGTGAAAATCCTGGAACTCCATCCCTACTGTACATGGGTGCATTACACAACATGAACTGCTTGGTACAAGAAGGCAGCTCATCACTCAAAAGCAGGTAAGGATGCTTAAAGCCCTCCGCAAATTAATAAAAAGTAATACACAGCATGTGAGTAAGTTCTGAGGAAGGGTCACTGGACCCGAAAAGTTAACTCTGATATTTTCTTCACAGATGCTGCCAGACCTGCTGAGCTTTTCCAGCAACTTCTGTTTTTG